GCCGACCAAACTTTATATTTGTAGGTTTTAAGACCCCCAAAATAAAACCAAAAGAATCCCATCAAATCATTCCACCAACAAAAAGTAATCATGCAAAATTGAATAAAAGAAAAGAGAAAATGTTTCAAATGAGCACCTCAAGAACGTCGAAATGATCCCGCACTATATCAGTAAAGAAAATTATATAAAATTAGTAATTGATTCCCCACATAACCTACTCAATCCGGTAATAATGGTCAATTTTGACCTAAATTAAGTGTCCACGACATAATAAACTTAAAAATAAGAAATCTAACCTTGAATTTTCCAACAGAACAATATATTTAAAAATAGACATAGTTGTGGATTATCACATAACAGTAAACCAATAGGACTCCCATCATTTCCTACTTTGACAAAACAACAATTAAATTTTTATCTAAACAAAATAAAGAAATTACTCAAATAACATCCAGAATAAAATGTGAAAGCCTTCTTTAGTTGTGTTCTCAAAAGAAATTCCTTGAATGGTAGCTGAAATCCATGAAGACTCCCTGTACAATCTGATCTCAAAATTGGATTCAAAACAAACAACTGTGAATTGGGGTGATTCAATTCCATTGGAGAAGATGGGAAAATGCAAGAAGTTAGCAAGGAAGAGCACTAGGGGAAGCTTCTCCATCTTCCTTATCACAAAAGGCCCCATAGTCATCCTGTTTATATAGACAAATGTTGAATTGAGATTTAACAATCTCAGTGGTCTTTGATTTGTCTTAATGGACCAACAATCGTTGAGATGTATTCTCCAACAACAGAACATGAGGACGTAAGAGAGAATAAGGGTTTTTTTGTTAGAAAACCAAATTCGTTTGATTACTCCGAGCATCTCCCATCCTTTCACTACCATTGAACTCAAACCAGATGAACACTTTGCACTTCATCTCTACCAAGTGTCGAAAAAATACAAAGATTTTTCTGCTAGATCAATGTAGAGAACCCCTTTCCACTCCAGATCCTCTGCATTTGGACTCGAAGGGACTTTCTCTTTGAATCCAGTCACATCTTGACACGTCATTAGGTGCTGAGTTGGAGTAAATCTGCAACCGGTTGAATGAAAACTCATTTTCTATGAAAAAAATATACATTCAAAAGAAGAAAAAACAAACAGAACGATGGCAACCAGAGCAAGCTCAACATTACTACTTTGGAGCAACAATTCAGCACACCATCCTCATCCTGCATTCCAGAGTGATCATAATGAGGGTAACCGAAGTTGGATTCCTCCTCCTTCCCGGTGGCGTAAGGCCAATTACAATTTGTGCTACAATAATACATTAGAGCTTTTGCCATGGCTTGTATCGTTCGTGAGTTGTGACTACAAAAGGAAGTTGGTCAATATGGTGAGTGACTACAACATGAACTTGGGTGAAATTTGATGCCAAACTTGTCATTGGAACCATTTTCCACGTGGAGCAGACATTGTTCATCCCTTTCTTTGTTATCGACATGAAGTGTTTGATCGGAACCAGCCATTTCAAAGACTCTCGACTTTCCTTCATTCCAAGAAGGTTCAACAACACAACTCATGAGGTGACATGAAAAATGAAAGTAGACCTTTTCCTTTTTAATGAGTCTAGCTAATAGCTTCCCCCCCCCNCCCCCCCCTTAATATGCGGTTGCTTTATTATTGGCAAGTTCCATTCCATTTGGCTTTCAAACAAGTAGGAGGTGGTGATTAAAATATGGTCGGTCTAATTGTCTAAATGCACTGCCCTCCCAACATAATACGTTCCAACATGATCGGACGCTAAACATCTCCTACATGGCGGGTCTCAATCTCATGATGAAATGTGTGGTGTCCAATCTTGTTGGTAGGGTGTTGAGATGTGTTTTATTGGTAGGTGATCCTAAGTCTTAACTCTTCTCTTCTGATGGGTCCTGTTAGCCACCATTCCAGTTTGGAGTAAATTCGATGCCGATTGTTCTCTCTCTCTAGGGTGTTGTTGTATATTTAGTGGGTTGGATTTGGGTTTCATTGCCATGTCCTGATTGAACAGGTCCGAGAAAATGTTGCCTAATGTAATGGCTATCCAACGCAACTAATTAGAAAACCAACTAAACAGGAAGATGGGAGACTGGATACAAGCTAATTGGTCCACTTGGACAGAATTCTAATAAATAAAACAAAAGGAAAAGCTTTAAGCTTTATTAGCCACCTTACCCACATTTGACTTTCCACCAGAGACCAGAGTAGGTGTTTACTTGTATATAGTAATTTGTCTACTATACTTACCACACATAACTCACCATAATAATAATAAATAGGTTGTCTTCGGATTTGGTTTAGCCAAAAGAACAAATGATTCAGTGAGTGGACTCTCTCTGAATTTCTAATGGAGGCCTTCTTTGAGAACTGAGATTGAAACCCAGCCAGCCAACCCAACTCATTCTTTATTGAATATTATTACTGACTGTCCTCATTTAAAATGCTATTGGATGGATGGATCATCACCACCCTCTATCCCTCTCCCTATTAAAACTAAAAGAAATGTGATTTTCTTTCATGGAAAAAACATGCTTTCTTTACAAGAAGGAAGGGGGAGCAACATCAATATCAACATACGAGACTTAGCTATAATTTTTGGTTCCCAATGCTAATAGCAAGGATTTTTTATATATACTAGTGGGGTGCACATGTGTTGCACATGTATGTTTATCATATTATTGCTAAAAGAATATATTTGAATTATTATAAAGTAATTTTCAAATTTCAAGTATGAAAAATAATACACAAAAATAATAATGGGATGTGGGATCTACCATTAAGCACTTATTAGTGTTTGGGAAATATGTTTGAAATAAATGCTTATTGGAGTAGCCTAAAATTTCAAAATTTTAAAGTGCTTATACAATAAACACTTATTCAAAATTTTGATTACAAAATTGTCCCCAGTTAGATTTTAAAATGCCACTTATGCCTTTCAATCGTCCAAAAACATAGGGTTAGGTTCTTCGACACTTTCTTCTCCATCGTCTTTTCCAACCAATGGTAGAACTGCAAGTCAAACAATTAACCAGGTAAGGTATCCCCTCTTTTTTTTTCCTCATTTTTTCATTCTCGAACGATCAACTTGACTAGTTTTAGTAGTTCCATTGTGACCCAGATCATCAACTAAGCACTTATTCTTAGGACTTTTAAACTAAATTGGTCTGAAATTGAAGAATTGCTAGAGCATCTTTTTGTTCTGCCATGCCTACATCAACAAATTGAAATCTATCATTGAATCAACATATCATAATCCTCAGTCGTGATATCTAACTCATGTTCTGAACAAAACACCATCATCCTATCCTCCTAAAATAATACAAAAATTCATAGAAATTGTTAAGAAATTGAAAATCCTTACTAATACCCTAAAAAATGCCATAAGAAAATCATTATTTTGTTATCCAATAATTTGATAATTTATAATTATGTCAATTCCAATAATTACCATTATTTAAAATAATTTTCTTATTATAAATTACGAAAATTTATTTAAATTTTGTTATTGAAAACAATTATTGATAACTATTTTTTTATTCAATAATTTCATAATAATATGAGAATTATTGAATAACAATAATTGTTATTAAATAATAATAGTATTTACAATAATTTCGAAAATGATAGTTACATAATAATAACATTTATAATTATCCCATAGAAATGATTGATAATTTCAACTTTATTGGAAATTATTTATAATTCAATAATAATAACAATGGCTTTTAAAATAATTTTTGTTATTCAATAATTTTGTTAAAATTATTTTTTATTTGATGATTTGTTATTTCAGAAATTTGATAATGGTGGAAATTTGAGTAATTATGGTAATTTTGTTATGTAACAATTTGATAGTTTTGAAATTATTGATAATTTCAAAATTATTGAGGTTATTAATAGTCAAAATTATAGATAACTATTTTTAATAATGACTAATGAATTGATATTAACAACTACTGAAATTACCATCATTATGAAATTATGAAATTATTGAATAAACAAACTAATTATCAATAATTATTATTGAATTATCAATATTTTTCAATATTTTTGTAATAATTGTAAATCATTTGTTAGCACTTCAATGTTTAAACGTCATTTTCAAGGGAGATTTTTACTGTATTTTCCTCATAAAACCACGGCCCTTGGGTCATTTGTCCATCCTAACAAATTCTTGGTGACGATTTCTACAAAGAGAGTTCAGATTTGAGGAATGGGTTGAGACGGAAGCTAAAAGGTTTTCGAACTCCAGGTTGAAAGCTTTACCTTTATGTTTATTTTTTTAACAAAGAAAAAATTTTTAGAGAATTTTCATTTTAACAGGTTTTAGGTTTGCTCCAACTCAACACCTGACAACATGTCGAAATATAATTGGACTCGAACCTAAAACGATAATTATACACACTTCCCAATACAAAGGGCAGTTGACATGGCATGTGAAGGGTATTTTCAAAAAGGGTAAACCTGGAAATACGAGATCAGGGTGTGTTGACGATTTATCCATTTCTTCATAAATGGATGGAGATGGAGATAAATGGAAAAGATGGAAGATAAGAGATAAGATAAGATATATATAACAAATGAATTAATTATGATTATTTATTTATGTTGGTTATCATTTTATTTCAATCTAGTGCCTTTTATAAACCGATGATGATATGGCTTGGTTGGTGGGGTCATGCCGACGTGGGTGGGGGTCATGGGAATTTCGATTTGTGAGATGGGGGGATGGATCCGACTTCCGAGTTCCGACCATGATCCATAGGGGGAGGAGGCGGATATTTTTTCCCGGGGGTTAAATGGAATTTCCCCTTAAAATTTTTGTGGGGCCCATTTTTGAATCACATGAAGAAAACAAAACCACCTACGTATGAAAGAAGGAAAAGACCTTTTCAGTCCTATTTTAGCAACCGTTTGGCATAATTTGATGGGGTAAGTTTGTAAAATAAATATTATGATGCCAACAGATTGCCATCTCGTCCGACAAAGCAAAACCCTAGCCAGTCCGAATTTGAACTTTGGAGAGAGAGAAAGAGAGGGAAGAGAGAGAGAGAGAGAGAGAGAGAGAGGACGAGACAAAACTTTGAATCTTTGGAGGAATGGAGGGTAATGTCCAGTTGAAGATGGAAAGAAAAACTCACCTAGATTCAAGAACATACTCGATTTAAGATATTTCTTTGCAATTCGTCTCCGGATTGAAGCCCATCCGTTGCAAAAGCTTCTTTACTGGAGATTCTTCCATATCAGGTCAAGAAGGGGCATTATTCTTCCATATCTGGTAAGGATTTTGTTTTTAAAGTCAATTTCTTGTTCTTCTTCTTATTGTTTGATTATTTCTATACTGCAAAACAAAGGCTCCACCTTATCTTCAAACTGCTCTCTCTCTCTCTCTCTCTCTCCCTCCGGGCTTGCCTACTTAGTCACACACCTGTGTACAAATTACAGAAAATTTCAAAATTCTCTATTCAATTAAGTGGTTTTACCGTCTACATTCTTGCATCACGTTTCAGTGGTTGTTTTTTCAATAGATCAAGCAGAGAGCCTCTCTCTCTCTCTCTCTCTCTCGATTTGGAGCAGTCAATTTGTGGTCTATAGTTTTATTTTGTATTGTTTCATTCTATGTAATTTTAATTATATTTTAGTTCAACTTAACTTTTTGTAGGATTTGATGGGAGCAACGAGTGGAATGAAAGTTATCAACTGTTACATATAAAAAATGGTAGTTTGTCTGTAATTGGTTCTTTGTTATCTTTTGCTTTACTTTGCGACTTTTTATGTTTTTAATAAATTATTAAATCAGCATTGTATTACGTTGTTTTGTTCTCCGCATTTTGTGGCAATAGACAAAATATATATTTGGTGATTGCTTCTTATTTGTTTGTTTTTTTTTTTTTTTTCGGTTGTGAATTTAGTGTTGAAGTTCAAAAATGATTAGATCTGCTTTAGTGCTTTGCTGAACTAGACGATTATAATTGTGAAGTTATTACACTGTTTTGTCTTAATCATTTATTTGAACTTTAATTCAAAATAAAATTAAACCACCATTTTACTTGTTCCTTTAGTGCTTTGCTGAACTAGACGATTATAATTGTGAAGTTATTACACTGTTTTGYCTTAATCATTTATTTGAACTTTAATTCAAAATAAAATTAAACCACCATTTTACTTGTTCCTTTAGTGCTTTGTTGAACTAGATAATGGTTACTTGTTCTGACTCTGAATATTGTTTAACAAGCCAAAAGCCAAATTCTTTTTTTGATAGATTAAAAATTTACTGAATGAAATAAGAAAATACACAAAACATATACAAAAGGGAGGGAGATGGGAAAAAATACAACATGCAAACTGCCATAAGGTGCTCTCCCTAAGGCCAAAAACTTACTAATCATGGCTATTGAAGAGCATCCAAGATACAAAATGGCTTGAAACCAAAATAGACCTCTTTCTTTCTTTCTACAGGAAAGCGTTTGTGTTGAGCTGTACAAATTTACTTGTAATGTTTTTATGCAATTGCATCTTTTACATGTAGCTTCTCATCTTCTCCAAGTCAATTGCTATTTTCATGCTGAAGACAATACGCGTAATATTTAAATGATCACTTGGTGAAAATACTTTCATACCCAGATTTGATACTTGTCCCTTTACCACTCGTAGGGTCCAGGGGCCACTTTCAACCAATAGCATTCTGCCCTATGGATTATTCTAAAAATTATCAAGTCTTACATTTAATAGGATTCAAAGCTTCTCGAAAAGAGTTAGCTTCATGCTTCCTTGTAATACTAGCACAAGTTGCATATGTTTAGAACCAATCAAGAGGCATTCTTATCTTCTCATAAGGGTGCTACTAGGGGTATGCTGGGTTGGGTAGAGCCTCTCTAAGTCAACCTGAAGGGAGACTAGGCCAATGTAAACATGAAATTAGACTAGGCCAATGTAAACCTGAAGGGAGACTTTTTGTTCATTGAATTATAAACAAATGAACAGAAATTTTACAAGTGAGATGATATCAGCAAAGATGAAATTAACCTTAAACTAACCTAAGCTGGTCTATGCTTGAGTTGAGCCCAGCTGAAACTATGGGCTATGAAATAATTTGATGGTTACTTTTGAATTTACAAACTCCATCAAACTCAATTGTCTTATCATTGGGTCAATATCTTCTAATGATATTATGCCTATACATATATTTATACGAGAGAAACACAAAGCTAGGGTCCAGTTGCTTGGAGTCAAGACTAAGCTCAACTTTATCCTGACTTGGGTTAACGCTTTACCGATGCTTGCCAACCTGATGGGTGGAAAGCCAAACCCATCCTGAATGCCTACCTAAAATTTAGTTGGGCCAATTGGTTTGTAGGTAGGGTTCGAATAAATTGTTTTATAGGGCAACCACATTTGATAAGGTTTGGAATATGTCTTTCACAAAAGGGCAAAAATTCTGGTTTATAATGAAAATCTAAGAACTATGGAATATAGGTATGACTGGTTTAAGGTTAAAGGTTCCAGACGGGGTGCATAAGTCTTGGAAAAACTAAAATTTAAAGCAAGGGTTTATGAAAGCTTAAAATTCTATGTTATGAATTTCTTGTCCATGTGCTGATTATTGACTCGTCGAGGATTATGATATCTTTTTTTAGGTGGTATAGTCGTAAAATGAGAGGGAGATCCTTAATCACTCATTGGGTGCCTTTTATCACTTTTGGGTTTTGAATTGGGTCTTAGGGAAGCGCTATCCAAATTCATTAACTTAAGAGTGGAATGACATATGTCTTCATAAGCCAGTAACTTTTGTTAGCTGCTTGGGAAACCCTGGAATTTCAGGAATTATTGAAGTGTTTAGAAATGCTGTATTCTGGATCTATTAGCCAAGGTGTCTCTACTTGGGATGATTTATTGGCAGTTTTACAGGGCATGAGAGTTGAGACTGGCTAAATCTCTAGTCTTAGAGATCTATTGGTGGAAGGGGATTTTCATTCATCTGTGGGCTGGTTAAAAAACAATACAAGATCTTGGAATATTGATATATAATGAGAGAGATTGAACACTTGGCTGTAAATTTTATAACAAATTATACTTCGGTTCCAAATCCTGCCAGTAGCATGGCAGATGGGTTGGCAGGAATCAATTGTATTGAGGAATAATTCCCCAAGGTGGGAACTTAGCAGCAGGGGGAGACTAGTAAGAGCAGGCTAATTTTTGGGGTGCTTGGCACAACAATGTTCTACATTGTTCTCTTATATATGGTTAATAAAATTTTCGTTGTGACAGATCTAATAACTTTTTCCCTCTGCTTGTCACTCACTTGGTAGCTTCTTGGTGCAAATATGGAAGCAAAGAAAGAAATGGAAGACAAGAGGTTAGATGGAAACCTGCAGAATGCACTGTCAATGAAAAATAGTGACTGTTTGACCAGTCAGAACTTGTTTGATTTGGCTGAAATTCTACAGTGCTAAAAACTGTAGAATTTCAGCTCAATCCAACATGTGGAAGTGCCCCATCTAAAGACTTCAAGTTGGCTGATTTTTGGATTCTGCAAGTCATGGTGAAAGTCCTAATCAATAGATTGACTAGTGGACCATATTGACATTTATAATAATTCCTGTCACTGATATTTATAGTAATTATCATCATTACTATTTATAGAAGAAAACGACTTACTATTTTTAGTAATTTCTGGTTTCTTATTTTTAGTAGAACTAGAGAGTTTTAGCATCCTAGTTTGAAAGGAAAGTTTCTCTTTCTCTCCCTCTCTCTTTTAAGTTTGAATATGAGCAGGAGTGAGTCCAAATAGGAGTTAGAAGTTGCTACTTTTGGGTCTATAAAAGTGTGTCGACAAGTCTTGTAGAGAATCACCCATTTTGTTCCATTCTTTTGTCCTTGCTAAGGTTAAATATAGAATTCTTTTTTTCCTATTTCTACCATAGCTAGCAGCTATAATAGATGTGGTTGAAGCTTCTAATTGCATGTTAGATTTTATTTATTTATTTTTTTTTGCTTCAATTGGTATTAGATAACTAGGTTGAGGATCTATATTTTGGTAGATTCATGATTGGGCAGGAAGATCAACACCAAAGGGTGCAAGAAACAAGGAACAAGTGACTAGAGAGGATGTAAGAGTGATGCAACTGCAGATTAGGCATGATGTGCAACAAAAAAATTTCAACCTTTATGCTAGATTGGAGAAGTTGGTAGGCATGGATGATGATGGTGATGCTAGATTGGAGAAGTTGGCATATGGCATGGATGATGATGATGATGCTAGATTGGAGAAGTTGGCATAAGGCATGGATGATGATGATGATGCTAGATTGGAGAAACTAGGACTTTTAAGCCTTGCCAATTTCAACGTTGAAGGCAAAGGAATTGAAAACCTCAAGGTATGTATCAAAGGGAAGGATGTCTACTAGCTATAGAAACCTTTCACTATCCCATGGGAGACTCTTCCAATGAGAAAGGAGTTTGTGGAATAATTGGACATCAAGTACACCAATATTTGGGCATCAATAATCAAGATCAAAGCCCTAAGATCAAAGTAGAAGTAGTAGAATTTTTTTTTTGGTATAGAATCTACGAAAGAAGCTTTGGATTTGTTCAACTTGATGAATTTCGTTCACCCTAGACTGGGGATCCCATTGTGAAAGTTTAATTGCCAAAACCCTGCCCAGAATAACTTCAAACCATTGTCCAATTAGTCTAGGGAGAAAAGTGATAAGAGGAGGCCCTACTCCATTCATATTTGAGAATATGTGGCTTACTCATCCTAATTTCAAACATAGGGTAGAAGGGAGGTGGAGTGAGGAGTTGGTGGGGCTATAAATGGAAAGGAATTAGATTTCGTAAGAGGTTACATAGGTTGAAAGACAGAATAAAAGAATGAATTAGGGATTGCTGTGGAAGACTTAAAGAAAACAAGGAAGATATAATTACCCATATCGATCTCTTAGACAAAAAGAACCTCAATCTGCCTTAAGCGAGGAAGAAAAGAATAAAAGGTGGAAGCTGAAAAAGGATCTAGAGTAAATCCTTCTATGGGAAGAGATCAGTTGGAGGTAAAAATCAAGGTACAAGTGGATAAAAGAGGGTGATGGTACTAATAAATTTTTCCATGCTATGCAAACGGGAGAAAGAACAAGAACTTTGTGTCTAAAATGGTTAGGGAGGGAGTGGAGGTCACTAATCAAGAGGGGATAGCAAGGATTTTTGTTGGCCATTTTAAATCTTGCTTCAAGAAGGCCTCTGAGGTTTGGATGGAAGTGGAAGGCCTAGAGTGGCCTTCACTAGATGAATCTAGTAGATTTATAGGAGAGGAATTTGATTTGGAAGAAATAAAGAGGGTATTTTCCATGGCAAATGTAAATCACTAGGGTTGGATGGATTTACTTTAGCTTTCTATCAAAATTATTGGGACATAATGAAGCATGACTTGCTTGAAGTTTTCACTAAATTTTTTGAAAGAGGCATCTTAAACCAAGGACTCAACGCCACTTTTTTGGTGTTGATTCCAAAAACTCCTGAGGCCTTGACCCCTAGAGATTTTAGGCCAATTAGCCTGGTAACTAGTTCCTACAAAATAGTGGCCCAAACCAAGGGGCTTTTGTGTGGGGCATGCAAAGTAAGACTGAATTTCGATAGCCAATGAGTGCGTATAGGAGAAAAGGAGGGAAGGTAGCAAAGGCTTTGTGTGTAAACTAGATGTGGAGAACACTTATGATTTGGTGG